AATTCCCTAACCAGCATGCTATAATGAATGAGCATTTTACTGTGCCAATAATCATCAAAATACATCTTCATGTTACACAGAGAACGTATTTGCCTTTTAACATCAAGTCATCCTATAAGAGAGTAAAACTTTATTGCATACTCTAACTCTTCTTGAAGTCCAAGTTGGTTATGCAGTTCTCCAGCCAAAAGAGTCTATGCACCACTTAAGATGCAAGCACTTTTTCTTCTGTGATTTATATTTTAAAAATTCACAAAAATGAGAAAGTCTGCACAAGACCACCTAGTTGCGGTGTAAAACATAAAAAAAAATTGGTTTGATCAGGATTGTGCACAGCTGAAAAGGTCATATCATACAGCGTATAGAAAGAGTAAACATTTTACTTCTGAGGACCAACTACTTGCCCTATGGAATTTAAAAGCTCAATACAAGGCCCTCCTAAAACAAAAGAAAAGATTGGCAATGAAGGAAACCTGGCAGAAACTAATTCTTCCCTCTTCTGGCAAACTACCAGAGGACTAGGAAAACCGCTACCCCCCCCCCCAATCAAGAACCAATACAAGCCTGGGAAGAGTATTTTAGAGGATTGTATGTGCACCCTGCTAGTAACATAACTGAGAGTGAGGTCAAACTGGACCAGGTTCAAAATTGGCCCCCTGTCCTTCTGCATGAGGTAACCTGATTGATTGATCCCTTAAGGTGAACAAGGCTCCAGGTGTTGTGTTTTGCCCAAAATAATTAAAATTTCAGCTGGTGGGCACCTCTACTACCATCCCTATTTACATTCATAGATCAGACTGGTCATGTTCCAAAAGATTGGTGGCTGACAATTATAGTCCCAATTTATAAAAAGGGCAATAAGAATGATCCATTCAATTACAGGCCTATCAGCCTTTTGAGTCTTGTTAGCAAATTATATGCTTAATGTCTAAATCACAAGCTCCAAGACTGGATAGAGACAGAGGGCATAATCCAAGATGAGCAGGCAGGATTCAGAGAAGGAAGGTCAACAGCAGATCACATTCTGGTGCTCTACCGTCTTGTATAAAAAAACACTCATAAAAAGAAAACCTCCCTCTTCATGGCCTTTCTAGATTTTAAACATGCCTTTGACTCAATTTCCAGGAATGCCCTTGGGGAAAAATTAAAAAACACAACTGTTGACAGTTCTGTATCTTTCTGATACAGAAACTATACTCCAATACCACCTTGAGTGAGGTGCAATACCCAAGGGTCCCTACAGTAAGTATTCAGAAAGGAGTGAGACAGGGATGTATTTTTGCCCCCTCTCTTTTCAATTTGTACATCAATTCAACAGTGGACCTCCTTCATAATCTGGATTTCTATGCACCTAAACTAGCGGGGCACAAAATCCCCCTTCTGCTCTATGCTGATGATGCCACCATCAATTTGACATAATTTCACAAACCCCTATAGGGCTGAAAAGAGCAACAGCAGCAATATTTTGGTATTGCAGACAAAATCTCCTGGTTCTTAATTCTGAAAAATCTAAAATTCTAGTCTTTGCTAAGAGAGACACCCAACAATCCTGGAGAGTAAAAGGGCACAAGTTAGAGCAGGTTACTGCATTTAATACCTTGGGGTGGTTTTCCACTTTAAAGGCACTGGAAAGTGCATCAGAATCACATAATGCAGCTAGTCCTTAGGTCTACAAGTGCTATTAAGTGCTTCTTTTATACAAACAGATGACATTTAATCTCTGTGGCATTAAAACTTTTTGAGGCCAAACCACTGGCCCAAATCTTTTATGGGGCACAGGCAGGAATTTATGTGAAGAAGGATGTGCTGGAAACAGTGCAAACAAAATTTTTGAGATCAGTCCTTGCTATACCCAATGGAACAGCAAATGCCCAGTTAAGGCTCAAGGCAGGAATGCCTGCAATCCAGATAAGGGCTTGGAGGAAGAGGATAAACTACTGGCTGAAAATCCAATTCTTTCCAATTAGACTGATCCCTTTAGTTTTAATAGAC